GGACGGACGGATGGACGGACGGACGGACGGACAGACAGTCACCGCTTAATCGATTTCTCTTTTCATCCTGATCATTTATGTATACATTTGTCTATATCTATCTCGATTCGTTTTGCCTGTTACAAACAACCGTTATGTGAACAAAGTTATAATACCCTTGTGCACAAGTGCGCTCGGGTATAAAAATCACAATAGTAGCTCTGAGTATTGCCCAATATTTTTAAGTACAGTATTATGGGGTGCACTCTACAATAATTTGAGACATTACAAATTTTTTAATTTTTCTGAGTATGCAGTTTTGCAGCCCATTAAATTAAATAAATAATATAATTAATAATATATAATATAATAAAGTGCAAGGTTTTAGCTACTGCAAAATTGCGTTGATTTTTAATATTTTTTATGCTGACGGCTTTTTGCACTTTTTTCTTATGGAAGAAAATGCGTAAAACCGTTTTCAAAGGAAATTAAAAAAAAATAACGCCTGTTTCGCAGTAGCTTAAACCTTGCACTTTATTATACTAAAATTTAATGGGCTACAAAACTGCATACTCAAAAAAATTCTAAAAAAAAAATTAAAAAACTTGTAAATTTTGAAAGGTACTCATTTTACCCAACTTCTGTGTAAAAAAATATGCATAACTCAAATTATTATAGAGTGCACCCAATAATACTATACTTAAATATTGCGCAATACTTAGAGCTGCCATTGTGATTTTTGTTTTTAATTTTTTTTGAGATGGCATATTTCCAAAAACTATTTTTTTTATCAAAAAATTTTTATGTGAAACATTTTTCAAGAATACAAATTTTTTTAAATATTTATTTTCATAGGGAAGTTTGATGTGTGTATGTCTGATTTTTTTCAAATTTTTTCCTCGCCCCGTTCTCGAGATATTTGGAAAACTATTAAATCGATTTGTTTTTGTTTTTGTGCTGTAAAGTTTTTAAAAATGTATTAATCCAGCTCAAATTTCATATTTATTTATTATTTATGTTTATCCATCAACCCTAAAAATTTGAAGCAAATCAAACACATGAATTGTGAAACCCGTCCATTTTGGTATGGAACACTCCGAACCGAAAAAACCCGAAAAATTGAATGTCAAAACTGTTATTTTAACCGGTTCGAGGTGTTTCCGAAAGCAAAGCAGCATACATACATACGTAAATTACATGAAACATCCCCGCAAACATATTCTGAGCGTTCAGAATATATGAGTCCGAAAGGTGTAAGAAATATGAGTTTCAAAAACAAAAAATTTTTTACTCTTATATGATTCTTTTAGGATTCATATATGAGCCAAGTTATGAGCCAGCACCTTGTGCCAATATAAAAACAATAAAGATTTGAAATTTATATCTAAACTTGTTTATACAGAAATTGAAAATAATTAGAAAACAAAAAATGAACAAAATTTAGCTTCAGCTGCTGCTATTGAATGCATGTTGGAATGTGTATATGCATGTAAGTATGTATGTATGTTATTTGCAAGGACTTTTTGCGGAATGCCTTTGCAAATATAGTGAGTTGAATAAGACTCAAAGAGCAACCTAAAATAAGAGTCCGAATGTAGCAATTTATGAGGCCGATAAGGGTCTCAAAAAGAGTCATATATGAGGCCAAAACTTGTTTTAAAAGAGTCCAAAATGAGCCGTATATGAGGCCAATAAGAGTTCAATATGACTCATATTGAGGCTCATTTGATGAATGAATTTAAGCTAATATAAGTCGACATTCGTAGGAAGGGAAACACACTCATATCGGACTCTTAAATGAGCTCATTATGAGCGTAATAGCTCCGAAATAGGACTCCTTAAAGACTCATTTATGACTCCAAATGTTTGCTGGGATGTAGGCACTTCAATACAAGTGCTACAATATTTTGTTGTTGTTGATTTTGTAACAATCGAATTCCAGTTGCGGGATGCGCCGACAACACTTTTTCGCTGTACTTGTAGTTTTTTTTTTTTGGAACACTGAAGGAAAGGTTGTCAGCTTCGTTGTC